GAGAAGGAGGAAAGAAAGGGAAGGAAGGAAGGAAAGAAGGAAGGAAGGAAGGAAGGAAGGAAGGAAGGAAGGAAGGAAGGAAGGGAAGTAAAGAGGGAAATCACTATGGTAGGCCAGGTGTGGTGGCACACGCCTGTAATCCCAGCACTCAGGAGGCTGAGGCAGGAAGATCACCATGAGTTTGAGGTCAGCCTGGACTTCATAGTGAGTTCAAGTCCAGCCTGTACTACATATCAAGACCTTGTCTCAAAGAAAAAAAATCACTATTGTAGGGGCTGGGGAGCAGGAATAGCATCTTAATCGTGCTTAAGGGGCCTGGGGAAAGTTTGGGGGGTTGCTTACCACCCAATAATATTCCTTTTAAGACCTCTCCTGGCCTTCCCAGCCTGCTCCCCCGGGCTTGTTCTGAAAGACACCTGTGGCTTGGCCTCAGGTGCCCTCAGCCTCTAATGTCAAGCAGCAGGAGGCCCAGGCTTCTGAGCTGGAGGGCTGGAGAAGGCTGTCAGGGATAAAGGGATCGGGGAGGTCAGGAGCCTCCCTGCCACCTCTCATCACTGTCAGAGCAGAGCGCTCCCTCTCAGTGCCCCTCCTCCCTTTCCGGCACAGGGACTGAGCCGTGTCAGGACCTGCTGGCTGGGGATCTGGGCTCTGAGTCCCCCAAAAATAGCAGCTGCGCAGAGATGATGAACCCTGCCTTCACACTAGGCTTGGAGCAAAGGCACATTGCAGCGGCAGCAGCCTCTGTTTTGGAGTATTTCTTCTCTTTCTCCTGCCGCCCCGCACTCTAATTTGTTCTCTTCTCTGCTGACTGTTGCTGCTCTGCAAGGGGGCTCTGTAGAGAAAGGCAGAGTGGCTCTGACAGGCATCAGCATGAGGGCTGAGAGCGAGGCAAGCCTTCCCGACAACCTGGGAGGGATGCAAAGAGTTAAGGTGAGGATGCTCCAAACTGAAGAGAAAACCCAGCTCCCATAGAAAGCAGGCAGGAGCCCTCTCCATTGTTTCACCTGGCTATAGGATTTCTTGCCGAAACAAGGCCTGGGCTCTGAAACTCCCGTAACTGGATCATTGGGAAGGGTGGCTTTTAAAAAACCAGCTGACAGCTGAATAATAGGAATTACCAGGCAGGCTGCCCTGGGGTTATTGAGGTTTGTAACTCAACCCTCAGGGAGGGGTTAGATTGGAAACTGATTTATGGGTAAGGTAGGGGAGCCCACAGTGCTTGACTCCCTTACCTCTTAGCTCCCTGCAGGAGGGATTGTGGATGTAAGAAAGTCCTCAAGGGGTCCTTCCCTCACTGGACCTGCCCTGACAGGGAATTTATTTCTCTGTGCATCATTCCATCTGTCTGCAAAAGACAATTCTTTTCTTGAGTTGCATGGCACATGTGTGCAGGGGTGTGTGTGTGTGTGTGTGTGTGTGTGTGTGTGTGTGTAAAAGAGAGAGGAAGAGAGAATGGAAGCAAGGAAGAAAGGAAGAAAGGAAGGAAGGAAAGAAGGAAGGAAGGAAGGAAGGAAGGAAGGAAAGAAGGAAGGAAGGAAGGAAGGAAGGAAGGAAGGAAGGAAAGAAGGAAAGAAGGAAGGAAGAAAAAGAAAAAAGAAAGAAAAGAAAGAGAGACCAGAACAGGCAGATCGGTTTCTGCTAGTTGCAGAAGTGGAGAGACACGATCTTCAGTCAATGAGTTCACTACCTGCCAACCACTGATTTAAGTGGAATTCAAGTAGAAAATGCAGGCAAGGAGAAGCATCTGGAGATTCAGACTAAGGACTAAAGATGTCATGCTAGTGCCCAGGACAACCTAAAAGATAGGTGTGGAGTC